CGCGATATAATCGTGATAGTGCAATTGGAAATCGACGTACAGCAATTCGCAAACGAACTAATCGTGTACAATTGTCACAATCACAATTTTAGGGAATTTGGCTCTTCCAATCGTAATTCTTGGCGATCTGTTGAATCGCCATCATGGGAGAAACACATTATTGGATCTTCTTCACTTTTAATTTAAGGGTTTGGAATAAGACCTGAAGGTAAAGAAGTAGTACACTCGGTGTGCTATCTATGTTAGAACATTAAAGGGTTTTCGAGTAGACGTACCGGACTTTGTCGGCATACCATGGGCCGGGTGTCGTCCAGTGACGGACGTTTTACGGTGCGTGAATTTTACGATGTATTTACTTTAGACTGCAATAACCACGACGACTAACAGGAGACAGGTTTATACCAGTAATGCACAACAATTTATAGCTAACTTGTCTAAAAGTGTGAGGCTATTCACTTGAAAGAACTAGCCACCTAGCCATGCCACTAGCCTGACTAAACACACTATAGTAACGTCTAACTGTGTCTGATTTTTCTATCTAAAAAAATTAGAGCGTGGAGGATGGTCTCAACCATTGGAGGTCCAAAAAGGTTTGCTGCTGCCCTCTGTGGTTTCTCCTCCTGTCCATCCTCATAGTACCACTTTTAATCCTGGTTTTCACGTTGACTTTTGGTCTTCCCAATCCTGAGATGAAACCAGGTGGAGCAGTGAATGGAACAAACACAAGCCATGTGGGAGTGTTTGAGGGCCTGATCATCGCTTCAATTGGACTCCCTGCAGCAAGCGCTTTGAGGTTTGTCTTTCAGATGGTTAAGAACCTCATCTTCAGCCAGGATCTGAACATTAGGAAGGGAATGGATAATGAGCGAGTCAGCAGCCAACTTGGCTTCATGAACGACGTCAGGAAAGAAATGTGGTTTCTGTCTCAATTCATCCAGTTTATGGAGGTGTTTGAGAGAAGGAGGATCCGAGTGGTACTGAAGATCACCAATCTCGACCGCTGCTCCCCAAAGAAGATTGTTGCAGTTTTGGATGCCATTAACATTCTGCTTTCAGATGAGGAAAGTCCGTATATTTCCATTCTGTCTGTAGATCCAGATGTTCTTGTACAGAAAGTGAACTTTGCAGATGGTTGCTTCAGCAAACAAGACAGAGCTTATGCATTGTTGAACAGAATTGTGACTCTGGCCTTTACAGTCCCACCACTGTGCGATGACTCAAAGCGCAGTTTATTTTACAGCCTCACTAGCTATTCAAAAATCCCTGATGACTTAAGCATGAGCAAATATAAGCAAGGAACTGGGGCTCTAAAAGAAAAGTCTTCCTCAGATGTATTCTCAGTGGAGTTTGCCATTGAAACGCAAGAGTCATATCCACTGATGGATAAAAATACAGCAGCACTGGATGTAAAGGGCGAGGAAGTAGAGAAGTTGGTTAGGAGCATCCTGAACAGCAACGAGAGGAACCTTAACAAGTACATGTTAGAGGATGCCACGTCTATGAGGAGGGTGATCAACTCCATTCGAGTGACTGTGATAATCATGAAGGCCTTGCAGAAAGAGCTTCCTAGACCAGAATACATCGCTGCATGGGTGGTCTTAGCTAATCAGTGGCCCTGCCGCCTCAGCTGGATACTCCAGTGTGTGGAAGACGCTCAGCAGAGAGCAGACATTGAACTTGACAATGTTCCCAAGGCTGACGATTCAAAAACCTTGTGGAAAGTCTTCCAAAAATCCAGGGCAGAGCTGTATGTGATGAGTGCACAGATTGAGGACCTCCTCGAGCAGGATGGAGATCCTGAAATGTTTGAAAGATTTCTCACAGTAGATTTCAAATTCACCGTAAAGGACTTGAAGACCTTTGAAGGTTCGACAGTAAACCTGGATCATTCAATCAGGAAGGAGCTGGCTCACATCAGAGGGACATCCAGGCTGAAAGATTCTGGCTGGATGAGGAACCTAGCCCCTCTGCCAATCACAACCATCATCAACATGGACACAGAAGATGTTTGTAAAGAGGTAAGAAAAAAGTTGTAATGTTTAAGCTTTCAGTCTGGATTGATTTGGAAACACACATGGTCACGGGTGGTAACAGCAAGTGCAGTGTAACGTGTTAAGGAGCTACTCTATCAGAAATACAGCAGAAGAAAAGTATGTATATCTGAAGCAATAACATAACACTTTTTGTACTATTGCAAATCCAACAGAAAAGGAAGTTTATATACATTTAGAAGTCATAGGGAGGATTCGAAACTAAATCATTTTACTCTTTATAATGCTTACATTTTCTATTTTTTTGTAGTTGGAGAGGCTGGACTACCACAGTAAGTATAATGATATTATGAGAAGAAATAACCTCAATGGTTCAGCCCTGCTCTTTGGTGATACAGACGACCTCAAAGAGCTCCTACAAATGACCTTTGGAGAATGGACAAGATTCAGACTGCACTTCCTGGGTGTACCATCACGTCTCCGACAACCGTACAAGAACATGGCCCCGACAGCTTCTCATCCTCAGGCCAATCCATCAGGATTTCACTTCCACATGCCTAATCAGTACACGTCTAATCCAAATCAGGTTAGCGGCAGCATGTAAGACTCCAATCCATATCCAGTGTCCATAAAATTATGATGTGCATGTGTAACACTTAACAATTTTTACAGTAACAACACGTGTGCAGAGTTCAGGAGTTTATTTAAAGTCATTACATTCACTTTGTTCAGCTACAAGGGCTTGTGTTACTTGATTATGTCCCTGTGTCCACCTAAAATCAATTCAGACATCATGACACAATTCCATCTGATAAATGATAAAGACCTGGAGGACATTATTCAACATCTGAAATCCTCCTCCTGCAGCCTCGATATTATTCCAACAGGATTTTTCAAAACTGTTTTTCATTGCATTGCCTCAGATCTACTTCACATAGTAAACAAGTCTCTCCACTCGGGTGTATTTCGACAGGCCCTGAAAACTGCAGTAATTAAACCAATCTTAAAAAAGCATAATCTAGACGCATCCGTAATGAATAATTATAGGCCAATATCAAACCTCCCATTTGTAGGCAAAATGATTGAAAAAGTTGTTTTTCAACAGCCGAGTCATTTCATGCTTTTAATAATAATAATAATAATAATACATTACATTTATAAATCGCTTTTCCTGGTGCTCAAAGCGCTTACAATATTAAATAAAACAGTTTTAAATGACGGTGTTGATGTGTTCCAGTCAGTTTTTCGTCTAAACCACAGCACTGAGACTGTTCTTGTTAAAGTCTTCAATGACATCCATTTAAACACAGACAGTGGCAGAATATCAGTGTTAGTACTATTAGATCTCAGCGCTGCATTTTATACTGTTGACCACAACATATTGCTAGACCGACTAGGAAACTGGGTGGGACTTTCGGCAACTAAATTGGTTTGATTCCTACTTAAACGACAGAAAAAACGTTGTCTCTATAGGCAACTACACATCAGCGTTGACAAATATGACATGCAGGGTTCCTCAAGGCTCCATCTTAGGACCTCTGCTTTTTAATATCTATATGCTACCACTGGCTCAAATTATGAAAAACAACGACCTAAATTATCATATCTATAACGATGACACCCAGATTTATTTAGAAATGTTACCAGGAGACTATTCTCCGATTACACCACTGAGTAAGTGCATTGAGCACATCAATGACTGGATGAGTAGGAACTTTCTCCAATTGAACAAACAGAAAACTGAGATTATTGTTTTTGGAGCAAAGGACGAACGATTAAAAGTCATTGCAGAGTTTCAGTCGGCAGACTACAAAACAACGAATAAAGCTAGGAATCTAGGTGTAGTGATGGACTCAGAATGTTAACAGTCACATTACAACAGTTATTAATTATGCATACTATCACCTGAAGAACATATCTAGGATTAAAAGACTAATGTCACAACAGGAAAAGCATGTTTTTATCTTCAGCAGACTCGACTACTGTAATGGTGTCCTCACAGGTCTCACAAAAAAATCCCTTAGGCAGCTGATTCAGAACGCTGCTGCTCGAGTA